ACTGTGGCAGTTAGAAAAAAAAACGAGAAATATACATACACACATACATGCGTATTTACAAAGAGTATGGCACTGTCACTGCAACATCCTACAGAGTTTACAATTTTTCGCCCTTTTGTCCTTTTACACCCCTTTTTTTGTCTGTCGATCTGTTAAGCGACCCTCCTCTGAATAGTTTAATGAATTAGAAACCGCATTGAAATTAATGACCTAATATGTTGACTGCAGTTAAACGTAAATGCAAAAGGACATAGGCACACACACACACACACACACACACACACACATACACGTAGCATAGTGAAGATCCCTGTTTTTGCCTCTTTCCTGACACGTCACTTTAATGTAAATGAATCTTTGACTGTTATAATAGCGGCAATAAAATTTATCAGATTCATATATATAATGCATACAAAAGGATTAAGTGCGTGCAAACATTGACGCCAGCGTCGAACAGACAAACGTACATACATTCTTTTGGAATAGTGTGCGAGGGGTGCAACAATTTTTTACTTTCTCCACAGGGGAGGCAACAATAGCAAATTCTAGACAAGAATCAAATAAGATAATTGTAATGCTTTGTTCGAAAATAGTCAAAATAAAGCGTAAAATGTTTAATTATTTGATTTTCAATCATTTTTTTATTATGTTTTCTTCATATTATATCATTTTATTTCTTTTCATCTTATTTTATTTACCTTTTTTATTTTTTAATTGATTTTAACGTTATATAATTTACCTTATTTTTCTTCATTATATCTTCATTTTCTTTTATTTTAATTTATTTTATTTTATTTTATCTTATATTGTTTATTATATTTTTTATTTCATTTTACTTTTTTATTTTATTTTTTTTTTATTTTATTTAATAATTTAATTTTTTCTGTTTTATTTCATTTTGTTATAGTAGTTTAGATTATTTATTTTATTTTATTTCAATTTATTTGCATTTTTTCTTCGTTTTTATTCCGTTTTAATATATACAAATATTTTTCATTTATTTTCTTTAAGTTTTTTCAATTTATCTTATTTTATTTTTTGTATTTTATTTTATTTTTGTTTATCTCATTTTATATTATTTTATTTTGCTTATTTCATTTTAATTTTTTTTTAGTTTATTTACGTTTTAATTTAATTTTTTAATTTTCTTTAAATTGATTTGATTGAATTTAATTTTTTCTTCTATTATTTTCATTTCATTTTATTTTTTCTAAATCTTTTAAATTTTTTTTTTACAACTTTATCTTATTTTCTTTTCTTAAGTTTTATTTTTTTATTTAATTTAATTTAATTTAATTTAATTTTGTTCTACTTTGTTTTGTGTTATTTTTTCATTGAATTTTACCTTATTTATTTTCATTTATTTGCATTTTTTTCTTCTTTGTTATTCTGTTTTAATTTGTTTTATAAATTTTACTTTTTTATTATCTTTTTTTTAATTTAATTTGTTTTTATATTATTTTATTTTATNTTTTTTGATTTTATTTTATTTTATTTTTATTTACTTAATTTTATTTATTTATTTTGTTTAATTATGTTTGTTCTGTTTATTTCATACTATTTTATTTTTATTAATTGATTCTTTTTTTTTAATTTTTTTTGCGGTATTTGATTTTATATTATTATATTTCAATTTAAGTTATTTTTTTTCGTTTTAATTTAATTTATTTTGTTTGATATTATTTTACTTTTTTTAATTAGTTATTTTTATTTCTTTACTTCTGTTTTATCGAAGTTATATAATATTTTATTTATTTGTTCTTAAGCAGATAAGCAATTAGCCTCGACTGCGGGTGGAAAATACAAATAAATTTGCACAGTTAATAAAAATGCCATTGCGTTTGCCAAAAAACCGCAAATTACCAATAATTTTCTCAACAGCTCCAAGCTGTTCATTCATTCTGTTTGCAAATATTTAATAAATGGCGACAAAATTTGTAATGAAAAGTGGAATACATATGCACGTATACATTTCTTGTGTATGTGTGTAAGCAAACGCATATATGGGAGCAATATATCCAAATAAATTTATAATATTAGTATGTTTGTGGGTGAGTAGCGTGGCGATTAAAAATACTCAATTCGGTAGACAGTTGTGTTGATGAGGAGTCAGGAAGGTGGAGAGAAAATTATGAGATCTCATACATTTGTATTTAAATTTAAAAAAAAAAACATTTATTAAATGAAAAATACGCCGCAAAGCACGAACATTGACCGCAATAACTTTGCAGTGCGAATGAAACCCTCTTGTTGTTGTTGTTACTGTTGTACTGTTGCAGCAACCTCCCAAGCAAGCCATGGCCAACAGGCAAACTTGCCAACATGCACATTCATACTCATAGGAAAAGCCACCATGTTTTCCGTAGCGGCTGTGGTTTGCTTACCTCCGCTGCTGCTGTTGTTGTTGCATCATGGCTGCCAACTCGTAAATTCGTTGTTTTTGGCATTTTTACTACCCAGTGTAAAGGAACACGTAAAAAAGGCGATGCGGCGACGGGAAAACGACCGCGATATAAGCTGAACAACAGCTGGGACATCGGCAGTAACAACAAATGCAACAGCAACAATCAGCACAAAAGCATCTGTGGCAAGCGCATGCACTAACATACACACACACAGATACATACATATAAAATTGGATATGTGCATATATGTATTTGTACGTGGAGATTAAATGCTGCCATGGGGTTTTGTGCATTTTCGGAATTTATTTGTAAGCCGGACAACAACAATAACATCAATAAACAGCGCTAACCCGCCTTAGCTTCGCACTTCAGCCATGTCGCAAACGCACACATACATACAAACGCATATATACATACATATGTACTTAAGCATACAGTGTATGCGCACACACAAATGGCGTCGCATCGCCATAAAGTATGGACAACATTTTTGGTTATTCGCGCATTGCGGTGGAATACCGTTATTTTCCGATGCTGCCACTGCTGCAGCCGCGCCTTTTAGCCTCGCCGAACCTTCCTTCTCCACACTCTCTCTCTTTCTCTCTCTCTCTGACAAAAACTGCATTTGCTGCACTTTACAGCTTCAGCTCCGTTGCACTTTAGTTGCCTATAGAAGTCTGTTGGTGGCTGTAAAGTTGCCATAAATTGGCGTTTCGCGGTTTTTTTGTTCAGCGAAGGGGTTTTGTTGCTCATTTGGGCTTGTGTTTCGTGTAATTTAACTGGTGTTCGATTTTATATACGTACATATATATGTTGGCATGTACAATTTTGGCTGTCGAATATTTAATGCGCACTTTACACATTTTACCAAAAGCGCCATTGGTGCATGGTGCATGGTATCTAGTGTTAAGTTATTGGTCAGCTACGCGGTGGTCACTTGTGTTAAGGCGATCTGATAAATTTGCTGTGCTGAGGCAAAGGCTCAAGGGGGCGAAATAGCCTTTAAACTCTCATAAACTTAACTGGATGAAACAAAATTGAAAAATAAAATTAAAATAAAATAAAAATAAAATAAACTACCGTGCACGAGAAGAAAGCAAAATACCTTACGGAATTAGTATAAAATTGTCACTTACACTTTCATTATTTCCTAATTCGGATGTCTGCGTTTTTAATATTCATTAAGTAGAAATTCCGATAGATCAAAAAAAAAAAATAAAATTAAATTAAACAAAATAAAATAATAATAAATTTAAGACATAATAAAAAAGAAAAAAATTAATCAAAATTTAAAATTTAATTGAAAAAAGAAAAAAATTAATCAAAACTTAAAATTTAATTAAATAAGAAAAAAATTTATCAAAATTTAAAATTTAATTAAAAAAAGAAAAAAATTAATCAAAATTTAAAAAAAAAAATAAAAAAAAAATAAATAGAATAAAAAAAATAAAATAAAAAATAAAATTTGAAAACAAGGTTTATAGAATACAAGTTTACGACAACCGACGAGGTCACGGAACCAACTTCGTCATATATACAGTGGGGTAGACTTGACATATATATATTATATCAAAAAGTATTTTCTTCCTTTAGATAGTATATATATGTATTTGATACTAATGAAGTAGTTATGGGAAGAATTTTCTTATACAAAAGAAGAGACAGCTTTTCTCTGGTAATTTTTTACTATGTGCTAGGTGCAAGGCGTAATCTCTTTCGATGAAACCATGGGCCAGGTGGCCGAAGACTGCTAAATTTGAATAAGAGTCTTACTTAAAGGTACATCGCGGTGACATTAATACATAATACATACATACATAAGTACCAGTAAAAAAAATAAAATATTTTCTTCTTACATATGCAAATGTTATATTACATTAATATTTAACTATTCGATTTTCTTAATACCAAAATTTCAAGTTTTCAGCTCAAAAACTTATGTCACAAAATTCATGAAACGGTTCACGAATCTGCTATAATTAACTTAGTTTTAATTTTTCAGAAAATATTATTATTCTAAGATTTATATCACTCACACAAGTTTTTTTTAATTTTTGTCAACAATAATCCACTGCACACTTTTCACCGCTTCGAATTCGTAAACACGATTTTTTAACAGTTAAAGAAAATATGCGAAAATCTCTTTTTATTTTAATATTTTATAAAAATGCGCATTCGCTTGGAATTTCGATAGTTTTTAACTTTCTTCACATTATCTTCTCATGTCATTCGTATTAAAAAAAAATTAAAAAAAAAAATTAAAATAATTAAATTATTTAGATTTAGACGGTTCTACTCTGAGGATGATCTGAAGTATTATATTAAGAAATCGAATCAAGCAGCCCGCATATTGTTTTAACTGTTACGAGAGAAGAGAGAGAGAGAGAGACGGTCTACCATACAACGTTGATATGTCTTATATTCTTATTTAGAAACAAAAACGCATTGAAAAATTTAAGAATCAGACATTTTTTAAGTAAAAATTTCGCCAAAAATTAATAAAAAAAAAATTCAACAGATTTTCTTATAAAACTGAATTTTCTTATCCAATAAATGGCAAGCAGCTCAACGGCTTACAATCTCACATCTACTTACCCTAACTCGAGCCTCGGTCAAATTTGTCCACATGGCAATCTCTTCACGTGTCGACATATCCGGATAACGATTTCGGCTAAATGTATGCTCCAGCTCTTGTAGTTGTTGTGATGTAAAATGTGTACGCTGACGACGTTGACGTTTATTTTTCTTATCATTCTTCGGCTCATCGGTGGTGGTTGTCATCGGTTCGTCATGACCGGAATTTGATATGTTTTCAGTTTTGATTGTGGTCTCATTGACGGAACGATTACCTGAAATACACAAAAAAAAAGGAAATTTGAAAATAACAGAATCAAAAAGAAAAAGAAAATTTCAAAAAGTCACATATATGAATGGACTTAAGAAGAAGAAGCAAATATATGTATGTATCGATATACATACAACAGGCATGTTGTAAGTGAAAAGTAAATCAGTGGGAACTTTCTGAGGATACCACATTGCATATCACATACATACGCATACTGCTATATATGTATTTACATGTACCCCCACACGCACCTTACATATAATAAGTAGATAGTAAATAATTTGTTTACATAAAGTCGTACAAATTGTTATTAGTTTTTGAGTGCACAAATCGATTACATGTGTTTTTTTTTTGTTTGTTTGTTTTTTTTTTATCGGTGCGGCAAGAAAAAAAAACCTATTGTTGAACAACAACAAAAACAGCAATAGCTTCTAATCAAATCACATGTAAGTGCAAGCAGACAGACAGTCACTTTATTCCAACGAGACACTCGCCAATACTCCAGAGACGCTTGTCAAACAAACAATCACAACAACAACAGCAACAACAACAACATTGTAACAATGTAATACGGTGATCATAAATCGTTGTAATGACAGTGTTAACAGTTGCATGTCTCCATGGTTGAATTTTATACTTGTTGTTGTTATTGTATTTATCATTGCAAGATGGTAACTATGTAAATATTTAATATATTGTATTTGTATGTAAGTATTGTCGGCGCCTTCCGCATCATAGAAAGGTGAGAAAAAAAAATGGAAAATCGATTTATTAATTGTAAACAATACTGTTGTTGCTATTGTTGTTGTTGTTGCATTAGTGTTGATATTAACTCAACTAGGCGACTAGACATTCGAGTATATACAGGGTGAACTCTTTTGATAACAGTTTGCAACAACAACTGATTTGATCTCAGTGCCGATGTTGACACAAAGCTCTCGCATGGCAGCTTCTTTCTATGATACGGAAGGTTGGTGGTGTAGATCAATTTCTCAGAGATATTTTTCGGTATAGTGAATTTATCAGGTCTACACAAAAATATGACCTTATGCAACCCTGAGGAGGCAAAACTTTGAGTTTTTCCCAAAATGTATTGGGAAAATTTCCCCCCTATGAGAGTATCATCAGGTTTCAATCCTCGGACATGCTTTGCTTTCACTATTTTACTATTTTCTGCAAAAGCATCGGTACATCGAACGCCTGTACCAACGTCAAAGATTGGGGTTTCGTGTTTGCAGAACTTCAATTAATAAGGCTGGATAAATTTTCCCTCAATAAACTCAATACACTCTGAAAGTCAGTTACCCAATCACTCATCTATTTCCCGAAGGCAAAAGTCTGAATTGGAAATTTTATATTTTATCATTACCACTGTTGGTCTCCTTCTCAAGTTCTTCGTACTCTCGCTACTCTCTTACCTCTCTGCAATGTATTTTGCTGCTATATTTTTTGCTCAATATCCTCCTTACATGCCACACGTTAAAGTTGCTAGCAATATTGCGAGATAAGCAGTCCTAGATTAATGTTATCTGTTGACCTAAACGGGGTTAGCTCGCCGAGACGGTGACAGCCCTTGACCAAATAAATTCCGTGTCAACTCTGGTGAGTAGGACCGGCTACATTGATAGCTGATAAGCAGTGCTCTTTCTCTCTACTGCAGCTAGGTGTTACTCATCGTATCAGCGCTTCTTTGGCGATGATGTAGAGGGAGCTTGAAATGCCGCTCTTATCCAGAGTTGTTAGCAAATACTTTGAGAGAGCGGAAGTGGAAAACTGATAGGCTTGTTGTGCTTTTAGACGTTAAACTTTCATGTTTTTGCGCTCTTTGCTATACAGAGGTAAGCGATATTATTGGCTGCGACAAGATAATCGCCTCAGTCGATAATAAGAACTCGGGAGGGCATACATATCTCAACCGGTGGAGCTATATTTTCTATAATGAACATACGATCGACTATGCTTCCGGCCTTGTTATGGATTTTCACTTTAACCCGGCATGTTCATAGATGAACTCCTTACCTTCCAATGCGTTCGCTAATGAGGGGGCTGAGCTTTGCCTAACAAGTTTTCCGCTTTCTATTTACCCACGCTGTTCCTAAGACCAATGACCAATGTGAGAGGTAGCTCATGCTATTTGGCCATCTCCTTCAGCAATCAGAATTTGCCGTAAACAAGCCAAGCCATAGCTGTCTGTCGTTGATGATAAAGATATCTTTATTTCTAAAGTTGCTTTCAACTTGCCTTGCTGCCTCCACTTTGGTAGAGACCTCCGCATGACGAAAATTTTGCATTACCTAAGTCGATTTGTGTCGAGGAGAGTATCCCTCTTATGGAACTCTCATACAGATCAACGGAAAAATATTACTTATTTATTTATTTATTTATTTTATAAAGAAAAATAATTATACAATAATTATTCTACTTATGAACTAAAGCACTGGCTGCTATGGCCTTCGGCTTAACATAGAATCATGTATAGTATATAAATATATAAGAAAAAAAGTGTAAATATGCCTATGGAAGATTGATAGTGAGATATCAAACTTTCCAAGGGTATTGCTATACAAACATATATAAGTACATTTGAAAAGTATGAGGGACGTGTTAAGATAAACTCTAAATATTAAACTATAAGTTTACGGGCCAAGAAAAACTTATGAATAATGTTGATGTTATTTTCATCTGTCTTCTTAAGAAGTTCCGATGGTTTATTGCATTTAAATAAGATGTTTCTAATTACATTTAATTCCACGCAGTCATCCAGAATATGTGTAACTGTTATTTGATTCGATCCACAAAATGGGCAAGGCGGTTTATCGGTACCCTTAAGTAGATGGGAGTGTGAAAAAACCGTGTGACCAATTCTAAGTCGAACGAAAGTTCTTATTTTGTTACACGAAATTGATGATGGATACAAAGGCTTAGTTCCGTCAAAATTAAAATTTTTATAATGATGTTGGTAGCCAATCCATTTGGAGGAGAACCAAGTTTGCAAGTGACTGGTTACTAATTTTTTTATGTCTTTTTCGATGATATAGTCAAACAGATGTATTGGTTCGGAACCACCAGCCTTTGCTCTTTGATCAGCATATTCGTTCCCTTTGATACCAACATGCCCAGGTACCCACATAATTTTTATTGAATTTTTATTTTGCCAGAGTATATCCCTGATACTGGAGGTGATGTAGGAATCACTGGTGTTGTTAAATACGGCGTCAATAGTAGATTTGCTGTCGGAGCATATAACATACTTTTTAACATTAGTGGAAGCAAAACGAACCGCTTCTAGTAATGCAGCTGATTCGGCTGTATACACCGAGCAGTAATTTGGCAGAGCGCCGACGATAATAGTAACACCTAGCTCATTTGCTACCGCAAATGAAGTGCTGGTATCGTATCTGGAGCCATCTGTAAACAGGAACTCCCAATCCGTCCTTAAAAACTCAGTTGCTTCGAGATATAATTGTCTATATACACATGCCGAGGTATTCTCTTTTGGATGCCTGAGTAAATCGCTTATAAGAACAGAGTCTGGCAAGTGGGAAAGAGGGAGTGATATGACTTGTTTTAGTGTTGGTTTGGATATGATACCAAGTTGTTCGATGTAACTTAAGATGCGAGCGATAGTAGATGGCCTCTTTGCACAGTTTTTTTGTTGTTGCGAAGACTGCACGAAGGAGAACAGGTATTCATTTCTGCAGTTTAAGATTTTTTTTATTAGCATCATTGTGTTGTGCAATACTCTATCTTGAATTTCAGGCAAGCCAGCTTCCGCTAAAATTGCTTTGATTGGAGAGGTAGGAAATGCTCGAATACTCCTTCTGACTGCTGTGTGGTAGGGAGATTGCAACAGTTGCAGATGTTTTTTTGCACAGTGCCCATAGATTGCTAGTCCAAAGTCAATTTTGGCTAATAGTAGGACTCTTGTTAAGTTTATGAGTGTTGATATGCTGACAAATGAGTGCTTAGAGGATAGAAACTTAATAATATTTAGTTTATAAAATAAACTAATTCTAATGAACTTACAATGTTGCTTAAATGTTAATTTCTTATCAAATATAATTCCTAATATCTTTAATGTGTCAGTATTTGGGACGGAGATGTCATTAAGGGAAAGGGATGGGGGGGTGCAACGGCGTTTTCTACAAATGTGAAAGAAGGAGCTTTTGTTGACTGAGAGCTTAGCTCCAGAGCCATGAGACCAATTGATTAAATCAGTTAAGATTTTTAAAAAGATTGTTCTGATTACTGTTAAATCTTTAACTTTTGAAAATATGACAATATCGTCAGCATAAATGAAATGTTCTACGTCAGAAAAGGAAGATATAATTGAACTGATTTTGTGAAAAGCAATAGAGAATAGGACTACTGAAAGGGGGGAACCTTGTGGGATTCCATTAAAGAGGGGAGCAATTTTCGAATGTCGGTTATTGACGCGAACAAAGAACTTTCTATTACCAAGGAAAGATTTAATGACGTTAAAGATTTTTGATCCTACCTTCCAACGTTTAAGTTCTGATAGAATGACATGTGAGCCGATTCTATCATACGCCTTTTCAAAATCTAAACTGAGAACTGACACATGGTTTCCGGATGAAAGAGCCATTGAAGCATAATGTTCAAAAATTAAAAGGGGATCTAGTACATTTAAACCTTTTTGAAATGCGAACTGATGAGGGTTATTTAAACTGTTTTTTTCGGAATACCAGAGTAATCGGCGAGAAATGATTTTTTCAAATACCTTGGATAAACAGGAGAGGAGGGAAATGGGTCTGTAACTAGCAATGGAAGAACTACTTTTACTTGGTTTGAGAATTGGCAGTACTGTTTCAATTTTCCATTCTTGAGGGAATACACCTTGATCCAAAATTAAATTATAAAGATCGATGAGTCTGAGTCTGGCAGAATAAGGGAGTCTTTTTAAAAGAGTGTAGGTTATTTTATCTGAACCAGGTGTTTTTCCACGCATAGAAGAAAGAGTAACATCAAACTCCTTAATAGAGA